ATTAAAATATATTTAATTGATAATCTACATTTTTGTGAAGTTTGATCCAGAATTTTCTTGCAGAAACATTTTTTCTGATCATATGCCTCTAGCAAACATTTTATACTGACCGATTTGTGATTGTTAACGAAGCGTTATCATAATGATTGATTAACGAACTGACCCCTTTTTTTTTAATAACGAAGACATTCTAAAGCATAATTAGCTTGTTTGTTTCAAATTAATCCACTTATTTATGTGTTCGGAAGGAAGGAGTACTGTAAAAATGTAGCCTGAACGTCTAGAATCTGTTGCTAGACAAGTATATAAATGCGATGTATTTTCTCCATGGGTTGCCTAATTCGAGTGCGAATATAAATAGATTCAACTGCATGGTATCAATTCGAAAATAAATGATAAATCTTCCATCGACATCTTAATATACAATAAGAATAGATTTAGTTTTAGTTTCTTGAGGGTGAGGGACTACCTCTGAGAAGGAGCACAGTGTGAGGGTGAGGAGGATCTCCGAGGATACTTGTGAGGAAAGACACAAAGTGAGGTTGAGCGGGTGAGGGACATGGTACTCTGTGAACTCTCACCCATGCATCTTTAACCTTCCCTACTGTCACCTCCACCCATCCAGCCACCCTACCAGGCGCCTAGCAGGCAGCTGACTAGGCGGGCTACTCTGTCACTTCCAACATTATTCAATGAAACTGAACTTCTTCTATTTGCCTTCAATCAACAATATCAAACTTTCCTTACCAAAAATACCCTTAAGTAATCAAGGTCGTCTCGATCTAGAAATTGTTCTAGTTGCCATTTAAGAACATACTACAGATGATAAAGGTATGACCTTATAGTATTGTATTGAACAAATCTTCCACATGATGTTGTTTATGCATTAGGATACAATCAATTAGTTCATACTGTGATCCAAAACACTTGTTGCATTCAATGGTGTCTATGAATCGTATCCAATGAATATGGATGGACATAAATTTTGAACACATTTCTATGTTACTGTTTTGTACGGTTCAGTTATGGATATCTGGCCAGATAGTCATAATCCAACGTTACACGCATTTCTCTCCAGATCGAAAGCCATGCGTGGATGGACAAAACTGAGTATGAATGCTGATATTCAAGTTTATAAATGTTTTATTGTCATATTGATCCACATGCAACTATAAAAATGCATATGCTTCTCAAAGAAGATGTTGAATACTTAACAATGATTGATACAGAATAAGACTTTTCAAAAGCTTTTTCATCACTTGGAATTTTTAATCAATAAACAAATCAGCGTTTTTTTTTCTAGAAAAGCTTGTATGAAATTTGAATCTATTTCATGAATACTTAATCTTATTAATGACTGAAACAGTTTAAGTGCCAAAAACAGAGCGAGTGAGTGGATGAATGACGAGCAGACAGTTATCCTCACACATCCACCCTCCCACAGTGAACAGCCAGGTGACAAAAGTTTTTTTTTGAGTTCTAATTTTCTCAGTTGCAGTATCTTCAAAAAAAAGTTGAGTAATATCCCATATGAAAGCCCATTAAGTGGGCATCAAAAACGCATGTTTACTTGTTATTAAAAAGCCGTTGCTCAAAAAAGTTTTATCAAAAATATTGGAACTTTGTTTGCTCCTGCCTAGGCCTAGGACAGATCCCAGTTCTATGAACTGTATATTTTCCAAGAACTGGATGAGATGACCAGCTCTTTTTCGAGAACTGTGTACACCCGATAATTCTTTTTGAAGAACTGTACGCACCCGGCAGTTCTTTTTCAAGAACTGATCATGATGATATATAGAAGACGACGTCAATACTTATTTTTGTTAAATTTCTTGTTCTTCTAGTTGTCTTATTTCGTATTGTTATCATCACTCGCTCTTGTTTTGATTATTTTACACATTGTCAATATCAGTACATATAGTTAACATAAACATGTTTAAAAAATTTTGTACAGAGATATTATTATTTTAAATCTCCTGAACTCAACCATCAGCTATCATTGTACCTATTTAAAAAAAAATGTTTACAATTATGACTTCTCGAATAGATTCTGAAAAGCATTCCTCAGTAAATGTCCTCTTTAATTTTTATTTCTTTCAGATTTAGGACAAACAAAAAAAAAGTTATTAGACATTTAAAAGATTCGAATTTTTCGTAAAACTTTTCTTTATATCGTACCAAAAGCAAAGAAGTTTGATTCGCCGCATTGCGAATGTTCGAGCTAGGAAACTATAATTATTGTGAATGTTGTTGTATGATCGTTGGGAAAAAACGTTCAATTTTTACTGCAAGCTCCTTTTAGTTTTTAAATTCTAGTGGTGGAACCAACAATTACAGTAACAACATCACCAACAACAACAGAAACAGTGTTATCAACGACGGAAGCAACATCAAGTGAGTTTTTTTAAAACGATGATCTCACAGTTTGTTCGAAAATGTGAAAACTTTGGATGAGAAATTTTTAAGAGTATCATTGATATGACCTATTTTTCAATTCTTCTCCTTGTATCAACAGAATTTAGTGAGCCTTATAAGACTCGTACTAATTCCATGATTGATGTATGATAACAAAATATTCACGATGTTTATCTCTTCAACGTTTAGCTCGTTCTCCCTTACCGGTGTCTGGCGATGGGATTTGTGCTAGTGCAAAATGGGATCAGAATGGTGTCACTGTGGCCGGAGGAAATAAAGAAGGATCCGCGCTGAACCAACTCGATTATCCTAAGGGATTGTTTTTGGATGATGATGCTATCTATATTGCGGATAATCATAATTGCAGAGTGGTCAAATGGACGCCTGGAGCTGCGATTGGTCAAGTGGTGGCCAGTGTCAAGAAGCTAGAAGATAACAATTATTTGTTCGACTTTGTGACAAGTGTTGTCGTCGACAAGAATGGGACCATCTTTATTTGTGATGAAGCTAATAAGCAAGTGGAACGATGGTTCAAGAATGATAATCATGGAGAAATAGTCATTGCGAATATTTCATGTTGGGGACTGGCGTTGGATAACGAGGGATCATTGTATGTCTCTGCTTTTGATCGTGTGACGAAATGGCCTGGTAACGAGGTAGTCGCTGGCGGAAACGGACAAGGATCTGCTCTAAATCAACTCTACGCCCCACGTCACTTATTTGTCGATCAGGAGAAATCAGTTTTTGTGGCCGATTATATAAATACTCGTGTGGTGAAATGGCCCGTTGGTGCTAAAGAAGGAATTGTCGTAGCTGGTGGTAAAGAACAAGAAAGTGGCGCCAATCAGTTGAGTTTTGCTCATTCAGTAGTCGTTGATCAAATGGGCACAGTTTATACCGTTGATTATGGCAATCACCGAGTCATGCGTTGGTTCAATGGTTTAAAATCAGGCAGTGTCATCATTGGTGGACGAGGAGCAGGCAACGGGACAGCTCAACTATCGATGCCATCTGATTTGAAGTTTGACCGACATGGAAACTTGTACGTGCTCGATACTTGGAATCAACGAGTTCAAATGTTCGCCATCGATAAGAGTTCTTGCATTACAGGTAATTTTTAATTGATTATTGTTGATTGACTTTGTTTGTCTACGTCTTCGTGCTTTAGTGCCGATCTCGACCTAAGCATAACTCTGCTAAAAGTAATGAAACAATAAAAGAAAGGAGCAGTTTTATCATCATCTACATATCAGTTTTGAAATCTAATTGAAGGAATAAACTTGTCGAACAGATATGCCTCATTCATTGAGCAAAATTGATATGAACAAAGCGAAAACAGAGTAGCCATATATCTACTTTTACGAATACATTTGCTAGTCCTCAACGAATACTTTTCTTTTTACAAATAATAGCAAAGTGATAATGACCGATTCGTGAAACAGTAGGTTAAAAACTAATTTAGTAGAAGTTCCACATTGAAACTTTCAACATTTGGCTATTATATCTTTCAATTATTATCATTGACATTATAGTCTTTACATAAAAGACACCAGTCACTATAAAATAGCGATGTATTCTTGTTCAATTTTCGAATGATTATCACTAGGATATGAAGATTAAACATTGTTAAATGGATTGTTTGTTCGAACTATAACGGATTTCGACAATATTAGCTCACTCCACCTGGACCAAATTCTCAGTGGACAATGAAAATCGTTTTTCAACAGAATAAAGTACAATATTTTGCTCAGCATTTGATGCTGATTGCGAATCTATGCGGTTTCTGCCAAAAGAAGTCTCTGAAAGCGAAGTTTTGCATAGTTTTTGTGTCAAATACTCATATGATCCTCAGAGTGTGAGTGTGGGTGCGAGGTGTGGATGTGTAGGTGTGTGGGTGTCTGAGTGTGCATGTGTGGGTCCGAGAGACGAGAAGACCCATACCAACGCCCACACCCACACCCTTTCACAATGTCATGATAGTGTTGAACTAGTAACTTCAGTATTTGTCAATTGATTGAGAGTGGAGTGGTGCTTGTGACCAGGGTTCACTGAGATCAGTCTACAGCCAAACTATCAGTCCAATATAATACGAAGCGATACTAGTTCAAGGGACAAGCAGTTTTGTCCGGCACTGTAAAAAAATTCTGCTTGTTTTTCGCATTTTTTTCAACACATGGTTTTCAGGCAGGAAAATGGAAATAATTCTCAACCAGTTTGAGATATAACAATTTTTTTTACTTTAAAGGTCTAAATGAAAGTTAAATTTTGTCCGAACGAGTTTTTTATGTCTAATTCCTGGGCTGAGAAGCATGAGATTTACTGTCGTGGGGTCACCTTCTTTATGCGTATTTAAACAACATGTATACGAAAATGTTCATAAAAAATGAATGGAAGGGAATTTCAAAGTTCTGTTCGGATAAAAGTTGCGCATAGAGATTAGCTTTAATTAGAAACTATCCCGAGCTCTGTACCTCTTACAATGACGGAGTTATAACGATTTTCGTGAAAGCTATAAAACAAGTCGGAAGTTAAGTCTTATATGATGTATCGAACTAAAACTTTTACTAAAAGTGTTTCTCACTAGGACCACTCATCCCTGAAAATTTCAGCCCAAACGGTTCGTTCTAAATGGAATATTCACTGTGAGGGGGCCCTTAAATGATTTTCCAAAAAAATATGAGGAAAACTAAAGTTTGAGTTTGAAACATAAAGATTCAAACTTGCATTGCGAGTCACTTCAAATTCATGTAATACATGATTGCATCTATAAAATCGACATATGCCATGTGACAATAAATGAAGTGCGATCTAACGATAGTCGACCGATTCAAAGTGGTACGATGTGTTGAAATTAAACATTCCAAAAAGTAACATTCGAAAATCAACAATCGTCACCATCGATTTTGACTCCATTGAAATTGACACCGAACCGGATACTTCGTTTCTCGTTCGATAAAAGTAAACTTTCTTACCGAAATAGAAGAACATGTTTTTTCCGTTCATCATTAAGTTTTTGTGATGCCGTCAACGTTTTTGCTCCAATATATATAAGTTTATCCGTGTTACTCGTAAGATTTTGAACGCTTCGATTACGATATTGAGATATATCATTGATGCATGCAACAAAAACAGCTTCTCGTTGACCATCTTCAGCTTGTTCCTTGTTTTGTTCATATTGACCATCGATGATAAGGAACAAAGGACAATGGAGATATACCGTTGCCGGAATGCAGTAGTAAAGTCAGTGTTGTTTACTTTCGAGTTCGAGCCCTCATCTATCGAGAGCGACCGATGGTTGACTTTATACTAAAATAAATCAATGAGGAAAACCAAATGGAATGATCACCAAACAGTTTCAACTAACTTCCAGGCCGAGATCGGACTTTGAAAAAGGGTGTGGGTGTGGAGGTGTGGCGTGGGTGGATGACTAGGCAAGATCAACACCCACATCCACACTCACACCCTCAAGATATATATAAAAGTTCTCTGTTTCGATTTCGAAGACACATAATGACATATAGGAGATATAGAATTTTGTAGAGCAGCTTTCACTCTATCGATTGGTATAATTTGATAATGGTTTTAATCAACTTTTTCTGATCAAAAATTTCATGAACAAAAATGATCTAAAAAGCATAACTTTTGACAGACCTATCTTGAGAGTAAAAACAAATGGTAGACTTCGAGCAAAAATTCTAAAAATTTGGGTTTTCGAGTAACTTTTTATGTTCTTTCAATTTAGCAAACTCATTTCAAAACTAAAAATTTTTGGCAACCGATTTTTGTGGTGATCTCGTGGGCTTTCTCTTTAAATTCTAAGCAGAATTCTGGAATATCGAAAAGATCAGATCTTTCTCAATGTTTCTGAACCATCAAAGCCTATGTCTTTAAATAGCTAGACAGAATTCGTGACATGGCATAGACTTCTATAAAAACATTGATTATATATTTCACTAACAGCTAATAATAGAAAAAAATACATAAGTTTATAAAATTCTGAATTCTGTTGAATAGATATTCTGTAACTGCTGTTTACAAAAGATTATTATATTTTATTAAAGGCATACATATAATATGAAAAACTGTTCAACATTGGATTGCTATCGACGACATATAATTCGCATTGATCATTTTGTTAAACGAAAAATACATGATTTCTGTCTTGGTATTTTTCTCTCATTAAGTCGATCTTCCTTGCGTTGATGCTAATTGAGTATAAATTCCATTTAATCTCAAGAGTTCATCATGTGTACCCTAAACAGATAACAAAATATTTGTTCGTTTCACTACACAAAAACAAACAAACAAACCATCACACTCACCTGTTCTTTCACTTTGCCTCGATCAACAACAACAATATTTTCTGAATTTTGAATTGTTGATAAACGATGAGCAACAGTCAAACATGTTCGACCAGATCTTGCTTTATCTAATGTTGCTTGAACAACTTTTTCACTCTTACTATCTAATGATGATGTTGCTTCATCAAGAAGAAGAATCTTTGGTGAACGAATTAATGCTCGAGCAATAGCAACTAGAATATCAATAAGCATTCATCGAAGATATATTCCACTCCGCGATGTTAAACATTTTGGAATCAGTTTCATTTCCAGAACTAATTCCTAGAATTCCTCGAGCTAAGTAAAAATAGAATTACCCAACATTCCATGTAATTCCTTCAAGTTTCCTATATTTCTCAGAATTCAGAAAACCAGTTTCGTCTACAAAATTGACTCCGAAAATGTTCAACATCGAAGGATAGGATGACTGCCTTATTCATCTCTTAATTATCACATCATCAAACTATACTCACTTCGTTGTTTTTGTCCACCTGATAATTGGCTACCTTTTGCTCCGCATAATGTTTCATAACCCTACAATATCAACAGATTAGATTAAAGAAAAAAAAAGTGAATAAACCTTGGGTAATGAGATGATTAATTCATGAATATTAGCCATTCGTGCTGCAGTTTCAATTTCATCTTGTGTTATTTGTCGACTATTATCGCCATAAGCAATATTATCATAAATAGAAAGATTAAAAAGAACTGGTTCTTGTTGAACAAAACCCATTAATGATCGAAGCCATCGAAGATTAAGATATTTTATATCATGTCCATCAAGTAAAACTTTGCCATTCAATGGATCATAGAATCGTTGTAATAATCCAATAATAGTTGATTTTCCACTACCTGATGGACCAACAAGTGCTGTTGTACGACCAGTTGAACATTTTAATGAGAAATTTCTAAGGATGCGAAAAGTAGGCCGACTTGGATATCGAAAATGAACATCATCAAATTCAATATTTCCAATAACTTTATTCTAAACATCAAATATAAGTTAATTGTCGTAGAAACAAAGATGATTCAACTTAATACATACCAAAATGATACCTGATTCATCATGAGGATTGATTTCTGATTGTCTTTGATCAAGTTGTAGGATTCTTAATGCTGCTTGTTGTGCTTTTGAATAATCGGGAATCATAGCTATTGCACGACCAATAGTTATCGTAGCAAATGTAATAGCGATAAGAATTCTAAAATAATTTCTATATATCCTCACATGAATATTAAAATATTCTCTACCTGATCACTTCATCAAATTTCATATCTCCGTCTTTGACAAGTTTATTACCATATGAAAAAGTTGCCATGTAAGCAAAATAAATCGTTGAATTCGCCACTCCAGTACCTATTCCCATTAAATGTAAATGACACATTTGTTTTCTAAATGTGAATCTCGCGTATAAGATGAGTTCAATAGAAAAAAAAGGCAATAAAGTTTTATACTTGAATTCTTGGTTGAATACATTCTCATAAAGATCTATAAAATGTTTTTCTTGATGAATAGCAACGACCGTACGAATATGTTCTATAGCTTGTGTAGCATACTACATATAAAAAAAAGTTCATAAAATCAATAGGTAATGAAATCATGATGTTATTCGTCTATACCTGTCCACCTTGTTCAGTGAATGAGCTTTTATCTTTCGATTTAGCTATATTGTTTTGTTTTCTACCTTGAACTATTCCACCGAACAATATCGGAGGAACAAAGCAGATAACAACAAATGCTAATTTCCAGCCAACTGAAAATGCAACAGCAAGACACGTTATTGTAGCACTTAATGCTTGAAGTATGGTGCCAATACGAGCGCCAGTCATGCCCTGCAAACATTCCACTTTTTCTATTAAAAACTTTAGTTAAGATATTATTACCTTTAAAGAAGATGCATCAATTGATAGACGTGTGATAAGAGCCCCAGATGAATTCGTTTCATAATCGAAATAACTCATTTCTTGTCGAAGTATCGCAGAAAATATTAATTTTCGCATACGCATAGTTAACTCTTCACCTGATTTAGCAAATCCAACATTAATAAGAAGCTGAGTTACTGCTGCAACAAGGCCAGTAAGAAAAGTACATGCAGCATAAATGTTTATTAAACGTTTTTGTTCTTCAAGATTTGGTTCAACAAATAAACTAAAGATTTTGGCAAGAAACAATGCAAAAAGTGGTTGGGTAGCACCAGAAATAAGAGAAAAAATTCCACCCAGAAGAAGCCAAAGCCATTCTGGAGCATTGAGTTTCAAAATTGTTAATGCTAACGAAGTACGAAAACGTTCCTTTTTTTTCTTCGAAGGATCATCGAATATTGTCTCCTCATTGTTCTCAACATTTTTATCCAAATCGTCAATCACGATGTCAGATTGTTTTGAAAGATTACAATTTGCTAAAATCAATAGTACAATCAATTTCACATATAAGATAATACATAAGCTATGTACCTAATCTTTGTCGAACAAATTCTTCTTCCATTTTATCATCTTCTTGATCACTGTCTAGATCAGCTTGTTCTTCTTTTTGAGTTTGAGTTATTACTAATTCATAATAAAGACCTTTGTGTTTCATTAAATCATCATGAATTCCATATTCAATCACTCGACCATGTTCTAATCCAATTATCAAGTCAGCATTTCGTATTGTACTTAAACGATGAGCAATCACAATTGTTGTTCGACCTTGTTTTGCTTTATCTAATGCATCTTGAACAATACGTTCACTTGTATTATCTATTTTATAAAATATTATTTTTTGTACATAAAATACAAAAGAAGAATAACAAACCAAGTGCACTTGTTGCTTCATCTAAAAGAAGAATCTTGGGATTTGAAACTAATGCTCGAGCAATAGCCACTAAAATAACAACAACCATATTCTTATTTCATCAACAAATATTTATCATTCTTACCTCGTTGTTTTTGACCACCACTTAGTTTATCACCTGATAATGTCTTATAGTTCTATTCATCATAAAATATTTATTAATAAAAGAAAAGTAATAGAAAGGAGAAAAAGAAAATGAGTAATACCTCTGGAAATTCCATGATAAAATCATGTGCATTTGCCTTTTTAGCAGCAGTTTGAACTTCATCATCAGTTGCATTTAGTTTTCCAAAACGAATATTATCTTCAATAGATCCAGTGAAAAGAACAGGTTCTTGACTAACAATTCCAATATGTGAACGAAGCCAAGAAACATTTAATGTTTTAATATCTTTTCCATCTAATAAAATTTGACCTTCATCTGAATCATAGAATCGTTGAATCAACTGAATTATTGTACTTTCTATCAATGAGACAAAGATTAAAAGATAGATGAACGATAGAGAAATTTACTTCCACATCCTGATGCTCCGACTAAAGCAACAGTTTTACCAGATAAAATTTTCAATGATAGTTTATTGAGAATCTAAATATTAGAGAAATATTTATCCTAAAATAACATGAAAAAATTAGAAAAATATACAGGAGTTTCTTGTCGTGCAGGATAAGTAAAAGTAACATTGTTAAATTCAATATCACCAATCATATTTTGTGGCTTATCACCTTCATCACTCGATACATCAATCTTTGTTTGCTGATACAAAAAACAAATCTATGTTTACAAAATTATAATTAAATAATCTTTAACTTACTCGATCGATTATGTCGAATACATAACTTCCACTGGTCAAGGCTTCTGCAAAATGTTGAATATTTGGAGTAAGGTATGCCGTATAGCTTGATGCATACTAATAAATATAAATATTATTTATTATAAATAAGTTCTAATAATTTTTTTCGAGAAAATGGCATACCATACATCCCATGAACACCTATAATTATAATAATTTTAAATGAGATGATAGACAATAAAAAGTATATATACTCTACTTACCACCATGACTATACCAGCTGAGTAATTTGTACAATCAGTCCGAACAAGTTGTGAACCATACCTAGAATTGTTTGAGAAAAACTCAATCTTAAGAAAGTAAAGAACATTTTAATTCAATACCAAAATGTCAATGTATGTGATACATAAGCACAAATGTATGCAAGACCTAGCCATATTCCCACATATAGAGCTTTTTTAATTCCAATGTTTTTTGCTACAATTAAATTCTTAGCAAATCTAAATCAAATAAAAATAAAGTTGTAAACGATCATTGATCAATATTAATCATTTACCTTTCTTCTTCTTTTGCTTGACCATGAAATGTTGTGACTGTTCGAACGTTTTGTAATACTTCTTGAGAAATTGATGATGCTGATGCAAAAGCTTGAATTTCTTTACTTGTATAGTTCACAGTGGTCTAGAAGACGATTTCATGTGTAATGAAATAGAAATTCAAAGTTTTCTCACTTTAATTATCATCTTGAAAGCAAAAATCATTAGCGGTAACAATGATAAAGAAACAAGTGTTAATTTCCATCCTATTACAAGAATATAGATTAGTGTACTTAATATGCGAGCAAGGAGAGTAATCAAATCCGCCATGTTATCACTACAATTAAATTATGTAACAAAGTACAAATTCTCTTAGTTTCACGTACTTTATTCCATCTTTGATAGTATCTATAAATATTGAAAATGAAATAATAATAAAGAAATAAATATTTCGATTTATTATCTGACCTAAATCTCTGATAAGACGATTACTCAATTCACCTGTATTATGTACATCAAACCAACCAATTTCTTGTCGTAGGATATTTCGAAAAAGAGCATAACTGAAAATGTAATCACTATGAAAAATCTATTCTTCTGTATGAATAATTACAAACCGGATACGTCGAACTTGTCTTTCAGCAGCTATAATCCAACTTGCCCAAGCGATCCAGTAACAAAGAATGCTAAGAGATCCAAGAAGGGCAAAATAATTTATCATCCCAACTATAGCATCATAAGGTGATTGAGTCTCAGTATTATTGCCTGGTACAACAAAACTATGCAATAACAATATAAAAAATGCGGAAAATAAAAAAAATAAATTACAAATACCATTCACCGAAACTATTGTTCATGAAAATAGAAGCATTAACAATTGTCTGCAATCTTTCCATATCAACAAGACTATCTAATACTCTTTCATAAAGATATAGCATCAGTGGCAAAAGTGCTATCAACATAAAACAATGCATACTATCTGTCATTTTTTGACACTACAATTATAACACTTACCACCAGCTATTATTGCTAAATAGAAAATAAAAATGAAATAAAAAAGTTTGTCACCGTAGTCCCTTTGACCCCAAAATGCGAAACTCATATATCTTCATAGGAAATTTACCAGCGACCTTTACCCATCTCTCCTAGTTGCTAAAGAAAGCTTATATACTGATCTTCATCTTCCTCCTCCCCGTTACTATGGGAATGTATCCGATGACCTTTGACCCTGGTTGCTAAGGTCTGTAATGACAGTGTCTGCAGGGAAGGAATGGGTATGAGGACCGGAAAATCTCGACTTAAAACTTACACTCACTTTTTTCTTTCGAAAAATATAAGTGAGTTGTACAAAATATCAAAGAATATAGAAAGTTTTTAGCATAATCCATATTGGAGTTAAAATGTGAAACATGATGGAACTGTTAATTATGGACTAATTAATTAACTGATTTATAATTACACAATGCTCACAGCTTATGACTACAATTTGCAATAAACTATAAAACATGAACTGCAGTTTATTGGTGAAAAATGCATTGAAGAAAAGTGAGCTCGAAATTTTAGTACTTTCTTTTTGTCTTAGTCAGTTTAATTGCCTGAATCTATGTAGGTGATCTTATCGTTCGATTCAAGTAATTCTACCTGTGATTCATCCAGGGCCATGTTGAAAAGCTCCTATTCTTGTTCCAATTAGAACTTGATGAGCTCTATCGAATGATATAATCAGATTTTGCAGAGTTCAGTCTATATTGTTTTCAACATCGCAATACTGAAGTGTTTTAAAGTTTTTAATCTATATCCATGTTGGTTTTTTGTGTGTACTTGATCTAGACATGCTATGGTTATTTTCAAGATAATTCTACATGTCATTTCTAATGATTAAGAGATCTGGATTTGTAGCCCTTGTTAACAAGTAGGATTTTTCTTACTCCATAGAAATTGTTCATTTAATACCATGTTGTGCTTTTAATGACCATTCACTGAATAGTTTTATTATGATTTTTATATAATGAGGAAAGTGTCATATATCATTTCTATAGTACTATAATTCCATACTGATAATTATTGGTGAGAATCCTACTGCAGTACTATATTTAATATCCATTGTTCGCAATATCAAGTATATAGATTAATTAACAACATAGAAGTATAGAATATTTCAAAAATTAGTAACGAACAAAAAAATAAACAAGATAAATTGTTAATGTAAATTTTGAAATTTCGAAAGATATCCCTGGACGAATCAGAGATGGAATTACTTTTCTAGTCTTCCATGTTCTATGGTGTGAAAGCAGTATTTTTCGATTTTTGAACACATGGTTTGGTCTGTGGAAAATCTGATTATACCATTCGATAGAGCTCATCGAGTTCTATTTGAAACAAGAATAGAAACTTTGGAACATGACTCTGGATGAATCGTGAGTGGAATTACTGGAATCGGGTACTAACTTCACCCACGTCTTGATTCTAGGGAAATAAAAAGAGCGGTAAGCAGAGATAAAATTGAACTGAGTAGACAAGATCGAACCAGACCGACTGGTGTGAAATAGATACCACAACGCTGGGCCGACGGATTGTCATACTACTTTATCTGTAGATAATGATATTTGACATAGTCAATTTTCAACAAAGTTTTATTACACATCGTGTAGAAGATAATAAGACAAGAAAAATAAGTAAGACGTACTATTAATGATCAGTCGATCAACCGATAATCCGTACTGGTTTCATATCTGTCAGTAAGTGCTAGTAGTTACTGTTCCTTCACTGATCTTACTGAGTACCAGTAATACTAGATATACCCAGTGTTACTGGCACTAGTATACTAGTACAATACTGGTACTGGCGCATCCATAACCTGTGATATAGGAAAGCGTTGCTAACATGTTTGTCACGGTCTGTGACGCAGAGAGAGATAGTCCAAATTTCTACTATTATACTTCATTACTCCTTTTAAAACGTGTTTCATAAAAATTCAAATAGAACTAACCAGCTATTGTACCAATAATCATCAAGAAAACATCCAATTTATCAGCAAATCTATAAATTTCACATAGTTTCAAACGATGAACTTGAGATTTCTTAGGCTTCTCTGATTTATGAAAAAACCTATAATGGACAAAAGCAAAATGAAAATAATACATTCCAATACAAGAAACGAACGGAATTTTTGAAAGAAAAGTAAACCGTCTAAGATAAACGGATGTTCGTTGAATCATTTCAGCTACACCCGAAGGAACAGCCATATTAGTCTGTATTTGTTGAACTGTATTAATATCGTCTAATTCTTCAAATTTCTCGCCTTGGGCATCATTACTTAACTCATTATCATCATAAACATGATTGTCATTAAACTGATCGATTTTGCATTCAGTTGGCATAGAAATTTCATTCAAATGAAATCTATTAAAAAAAAAATATTTAATTAAATCAAAAACAATTATTTTCATTACTTTTTAGAATCACTATTGATATCTTTAAATGAAGACTGTTGATCAGCTATATAATCAGTGATGTATGACACATCAGTATTAATATCGTTTGATTCTGCTTCGAAAGCTGGATTAATCATGTTATTATAATTTAATAAATGTTTACTAACGTTGATAAACTATAAGAAAAATGTAAATTTTTTATTTAGTTATAATACAGATAGAAAAAATAGCAGTCACTCACTAACAACTAGCCACTTTTTGTCACTCTGTCATTGCACATTGTCATGTTTGTCTTACTTATTTTCTTTTATTCTGTCGTATCACATGACAAATGAATATACACATTTTTTCTCATATGGACAACCCACATATATTCAAAACCCCTAAAAAAAATTGACAATGAATCATATATTTATTAGATAATAAACAATCGAAGCTTATTTCTAAATCATTATATACACATAATTACTTGACGCCTTTTTTTTCTCTTCTTTGCTTCTCTTTTCTGTTCTATCCGTTTTCTAACAAAGAAAGTTACGTTGAATCTTTCTATTCTCTCTTGTTGTTTTAAGTTATCAAAGTTTTCAAAATAAAGATTATTTATTCGTTTGTCCGGAAAGGTACAATTTATCTAACCATATTGAAACGATAATTATGCGCTGAATCACGACAAATTGCCGATTTTTTTTTCGATAATTCTGACAATTTTTATGATAAATCATGATTTTATAATCGATTGTTATTGCTCTTTATATCGATAGTAATTAGGAGCAATTTGTGCATGTAACCTTGATTTCTACTGTTATATTCAAAAGTCATAAATAATTTAAATTAATGAATATTTTTATTTAAAAATTGATGGCTTACACTATTTCACATAAACAAAATACATAATAAAAACACAATTGAAAAAAAGAAGAGAAAAAAATAATAAAAACATGTTTAAATATATAAATTGATGTTTTGAATTAAGTTGTTCCCTTAACGCATTTTAAAACGTGTAAGTCGTTTTTACTTATCAACTAAACATCTAAAATAGAGAAAGAAATAAAAATCTTATTTGGAAAGCAGACCTACAAAAATGATAGTAAAAGATCTCATCGTACAAAAGACAGTTCAGTTTTTCAACTTTATACTGATCTAATCAATGATAGTTTAATTGAAAATGCAACTAAACATAAACTATTTATCATCAAAATATATATGTTTTCAAACAAATGAATGAGAATGTGAAGTTTAGTTCAATTGTTTTTAAAATTGTTCAATCTAGTTCTAGGACATCCATGCAGAAACTATACTCGACTATCGATTTTTACAAATCTCAGAATTTTTCTCTAATTTATTGATAACTTGCAATTAACTATTGAAATCAGTGATTAAATGCGATTTATCGCTGATTTTCGAAAAATTGTTTCTCCTACCATAGAAAAGGTCACAAACTTTGCCGACGATAGAACAAAAAAAACAATTTTTCTCTCGATTTTTTTGTACACCTGTATACGATGAAGAATTGCCCGTAATGCGCAAAAGAAAAGGTCACCATATAATGTTTGTTTTTTTGTTCTCGCAAAAAAAAATATGATAAAACAGTGATATGCGACAACAGTCTCTTCATTTTTCTTCTTGTCCTTTTTATTGAATCATAGAATCCATGCTTTTGAATCTACTACTTTCTCTTTTTTGCAACAAGATCGAATTGTTCTGTGTTTTTCATTATCGCTTGCCAGTCTTGTTACCGTAATTATCTTTATTTTTAGTTTCTCATCATTATATCTCAAATATGTTGCCAAGAGATTTATTTGAGTCCAATTATGCATTACTGTTCGATCCAAGTTCTCGAGTATTAGACGCAGACATATTTGTAGACTTCTACCGAAATTCTCTGTCATTTGCACAATGTTAACCATGCGTTATTAAGCACAAATTCTTCTAAATAATCATTCATGTGCTTGTTTTCTGCATCGATTGATTTTATTTCTATGTTCTTCTGCTCGACAAGAAGGATATGTATCAACCGATGAATTTCGAGAGAAAGTTTCGCTGACTGCATATGGTCCAATGAGACCATCAATTCATGATCAACATCATAGACAAGTCATTAATGAAAATAAAAAAAAGGTTAAATACTAGTATATAATATTAAAGAATTCATAGGCAGATTATGAGATTATTTTCTTTTGGACTACGGTGAGCGTATTATTTGTTCTTTTGATTTATATCATTATGCGAACAACGTCGATACACATAACTATTACTGACGATATATATTGGATAATAACAATATATGATTTTTTTCTTTATTAATAACGAACTTCTTCGAATGTAAACAAGGATTTAATCAATAATATTTTAAACTAATATTTGATTGCTGAGCTCAACGCAGTAAAGCACATCTTTTTAACAGAAATTCTTGCATTTAAACGTGTATGACACTACGAACGCGATAAACTAATAGAAACTACTGCAAAAACTAGTAAAAATACATAAATTAAGAAAATATACTTTATCTACTTCGAGTGAGAGTACCATCTAACGTTCTTATATTTGATTTGTTCTCATAGGTTGCAAATCGTCTGTGTTAAAATCTGAAAGATAATCTAATGTAGCATTGTCTATACTAGAAATGCAGTTTAGTATTTATCTTCTTCGGAGCGCTTATAGTTATAGGGGTACGCAAGCTCAGCTCACGAACTCCGTTCAAATGAGCGAAAGAACTGTTCGAACAGCTCATTCGAACGAACTGAACTTTTTGTAGGGGTACCCATTGGTCCTCAAGGGCTACCCTGTAGGGGTACCCATAGGTCCTCCATGGCTACCTTATATGGGATGCATAGGTCCTCAAGTCCTACTATTGGGGGTACTCTTGGGTTCTCAAGTCTTACTACTGGAAGGTACCCGAGCGGGTTCAAATTTTTTTCCCTTTATTGTGAGGGCGAGTGATGGGTATGTTCGGGCCAATCATAGGGTTATCGAGGATGCTCTATCGATTGATGGGTGTATGTATGGGCTCCTACCCAGTGAAACACAGCGAAAATACAGCTTTGGCATTTGTCCTTGAGGACCGAAGGGTATCCCCAATAATAGGACTTGAAGATCCAATGGCATTCTCCAATAATAGGACTTGAGGGCCAAAGGATACTCCCCAATAATAGGACTTGAGGGCCCAAGGGTATCCCCCAATAATAGGACTCGAGGACCCAAGGGTATCCCCCAATAATAGGAGTTGAGGACCTATGGGCACTCCTATAGGGTAGCCCTCGAGAACCTATGAGTACCCCTAGAAATAGTTAGGTTCGTTCGAATGAGCTGTTCGAAGAGTTCGGCTCATTTGAAATGAGCTGTTGAAAAGGCTCGGTTCGTTCGAGTGAGCTGTTCTAACAGTTCAGCTCATATGAAATGAGCTGTTTCAAAAGCTCGGTTCGTTCAAATGAGCTATTCTAACAGTTCAGCTCATGTGAGATGAGCTGTTTAAGAAAGGCCAGTTCGCTCAAATGAACTGTTCGAATAGTTCAGTTTGTCTCAGTGAGCGTTTTCAACGGCTCATTGCTTGTGAGCTTGAGCTGAGCTTGCGTACCCATAATAGTTAGTCTGTTAATAAAATTGAGAGCATTTTTATATTGACATGAGACTATAGCTTGCTTTCAATAGCTGGAAATAATTCAGGATAACCTTGTTTATATTCACATATCTGTTCAAAATTATCTTTCATAGATCATTGTCATTAATTGACAGTTTGTACAGAGACTAACTTGATACTTTCACA